GGACACGCTGTCGACTCCACGCTTCCCTTCAGTCTCCCACTGGCACCCCTTCCAGTTCATCAGTGCCCCACACCCCCAACAGCAACCGCCACCCTCACAACAGCACAAACAGCAATGACAGCAGAGAAAGTCAAACTGCAAGACTGTGCCACTGGAGCCATTGCTTCATCTCTCCGAGCCTCAGCGGCCACGCGTGTGACCACAAAATCAAATGAAGTAAAGCAGGGCTAGTGCCACGTCCCCTGCACTGCGTGCTGAGATGCTCCAGGACGCGCCAAAGAAGTCCCGGGAGAGCTGCGGGTGTTTTAACAGGAGGAGCCACGAGACACTCAGCACCTGTTAGACACGGCCCAAACTAGGGGCCGGATGTGTTCCGGGTCTCCACATCAGAGTGCAGTGCAGCCCTTGGTGGGCATAAGGTCTTCCTGAGGCTGGGTTTGCAGTGGCTGCTGGGATAAATCGACGTGGAACAGGAAATGAGGGTGGCACTGTCCAATCAGATTCCAAGACTGAAAAGCTGTCCAGTGCTCAACAGGCACACATATTCTATTAGTGAGTAACTGTGGTTATTTACAAAGGAAACAGATTATGTTCAACTTACTGCATTTGCATCGTATTTCCCCAGCAGCTACTAAAATTGCTAGGACAGAAATGTCTCTTGTTTGGACCTATGTAATGCACAGAGCTGCAGCCTGGGCCGCTGTGAGAACCCTCGGTGGACCCCGGAGACCCTGAGCGGCCAGGAAGGTTAGGAACCCAGCTTAAGGTGGTGACTGGCAGGGAAGGCTGCCAGCAAACGGCACTAGGATTTCACTATTACTTCTCCTTTACTGTGTGCAGTTTCACAGAAAAGGCAGGGTGATACTTATGATTCTGTGACAAAGATCTCCAGAACCCTGCCCTATAGTTTTACAGCTCATATTTCCAGAATAAAAAAAAAACAAAACTGCGCAGACACACTCAGATGGACAACCCAGAGAAAACCCAGGGCTAGAGTTAAGGGATATGGCCTTAAAGGGCACAATTTGGATGTGGATTTGACTCAACTCACGGTCCTTGGAAAGCCTGAAAATAATCTTACTGCCTGCCAGAGAAAGGCAAGCAACGCATATCATGTGACCCCCGAGAGCAAAAGCTCCAGTTTTAAAAGGAACTTACACGCCCTGCGTCCTTGTCCTTTAAATAGGTGACCAAATCGTCTTCCATTTCCCGCGTTTTGACTTTCTCTTTAATTATTCACTATTTAATCATTTAAAAAGCAGGAAATGGGTTGAAAAGTGAGACAGCGTGTGAATTCAGTGCATGCCTGTGTCTGACTGGTGACCGGGCCTTTTCGTGTCTACAACTGTATGTGGATAAGAACGCGGAGCCCCCCAGAAACCCAGGGAGTGTCTTCTCCAGGCCGCGTGAAACTCGCCGACCCGCCGCTGACCTGGGCGCAGACCCAGCTCTGACCCTGCTGCAGAGGCATCGAGTCTGTGGTCCACACGGACTCATTATTTTTTTAAAGGAGTAACACCAAAAAAGGGCACGGTGTAAAAACAGAAGGGTTTTTAAATAACTAAATGCAGTAACAGAAATCAATGATAAAATTATTTTCTACTTAAAAGTAGAAATTGTTAAGTGTTCTTAACAATTTTAGAACAAATTGTTAATAGTTTTTATACAAGACATAAATAACACTCATCACTTTTAATGAGCATTTCAGGAAGACCTTCATGATGTGGCTATAGCCATTTCCATTAGGATTTTCACAAACAAGTACAAACAATATATATATGTCCCTTCTATCAGCAGCTCAAACAGTAATTCTTTAAATGATAGAAAATACATTTTATAGAAAAAGGTATCTACTTTCAAATACAGGACAGTGCAGCCCTGGCTGGTTGGCTCAGTGGACTGACCGCTGCCTGTGAACCAACAGGCTGCGAGTTCGAATTCTGGGCAGGGCATGTGCTCAGGTTGCGACCCAGGTTCCTCAGCTGGGTACCTGCGAAAAGCAACCAATCAGATACAGGCCAGTGCATTGTTGTCGACTCCGTTGTCTAGTGCAGGCTAGTCTCTCCCCCGTGCACTTATTCCGTATCCACTTCTCCCACAAGTGTGAGTGAAACACCGCAGTGGCACAAGGGATCGAAGAGGACCTGGCAGGGCCTCTTCTGCAGGGGCCCGTGTCCAGACGGACACCTGTGAGCGGCCCGGCGCGTGGCAGCACCACGCCAAGGACCACGTGTGGCAGCACCACGCCAAGCACCACGTGTGGCAGCACCACACCAAGGGCTGCGGGAGGGCCGACACCTGGTTCAGGCTGTGCATTCAAGAAAACTCACTACGGGCCCCATAACAACACTGGCAGCATTATAACTCTAGAAACATGGTTATTTCCAATAACGTCTGTGCGCTAACGCTGCCCCATTACTACCATAGGAAGGCCTATATAAACTTTGCTCAGAGGTTATCATCCCAACCTCACTATATTGGAATCTCTCAGGGGCTGAAGCCCAGCCCCAGTATTTGTAAAAACAAAACAAAACAAAACAAACCCTCCCCAGTGACTGTAATGATTCAGTCACAGCATCACGACTGATTTAAGCTCAGAATCCCATCAGCCCAAAGACAGGGTCCTGAGGCTGCGTGAGTGGGTACTCAGTCCTAAGAGGATCCACGACTGGAGATTATTTTCATTGTATTTTTCCCTTACACCCCATTTTTTGGTATGTGCTAATAATACAAAAGATAAGACTTCATGTTGGGTATCTTATGGCACTCCTGGCATAAGCCAGAATAATTCAGTGACTGCCAATCCTCAACAATAGGATTGTTTAATTTTTTAAACTTTGACTTGTTAAAGTGGGGCAGCTAGAGCCCGAGGCCTGGTAGGGTCACTTTCACCATCGACTTTCAAGAAAAACACCTGCACACAAGCATGTGGACACCAACAAGACCAGTATGTAGAGTGTTGGGCCAGGGATACAGACAAAGTTCTACAGAAAGGAAAGGCAGGAAGATCTAAGAGTGAGCGGGGCGGGGGGTGAGCAGGTTCTCCTGAAGGAAGCATTCTAGCAGTCCTGCAGAAAGAGGGCATCACAAGGAACGGAATAAGGAACGGCATGGTGAAGGCTGGAAAGGCACAGTGCAATGGGGAAGCAGTGAGGAAACAGCACAGTTGCCTTAGAGAGGGTCAACACTGGCCAACAGGGCAAGGCCGAAGTACAGACAACCTGATGAAGAGTTGAGATTTGCACTTAATCTTACTGGGAAATGGGGTGATACTTCTGTTTACTACCAAAAACGTGTCAGGAGTCCCTTCTGGTAGCCGCACGGACACTCCAGGGGCCAGACTGCCGGAGACCAGGAGGACAGCTTGGTGCCATCCAGGCATGGTGCCTGGACGTGGCGGGCACCTCCAACTCATGAAGGCTGTGAACGCGAGCACTCTGCAGTACAGCACATGCCGTGGCATGCTTCCAGACGGAACAGCCAATTAATTTTATAACTCAAATGACCTTTAAAAAGGTCTCCTAGCTCCTAAACATTAATATTTTAAGTGTTGCTGTAAAGTTTATAACAGGAAAGCTAATAGCACACCCAAGAGATTACACCTCTTTTTATGCTAGCGTTAGAGAGAGAGAGAATTTCAAACTTTTTTTCCAAAAGAATTAATTACATAGTGTAAATCTAATGAAATAAATAAGATTAATGAATAGTTAAGAAAGTATGTCTCATATTCTTTTTCCCTTAAAATGTATGTTAATGCCAAAATGGATGACTTAGGGATTTTTTAAAAAATTGGTTTCTGGCATGAAAGAAATCTGCTGGAGGTTTGGAAGTATTATTACCCTTAGGGAGTAAAGTATAGCAAAACCCTAAGAACTATACCTAATGCATACTTTGTAGCTAAAAACCTGGTTTCCTGTCATTACAAGTCACCATAATTAAAGAAACATTTACAATTTAGACAAATAAGAAAATCGGGTAATGTCAGCAAAAACACAAGCAGCTGAAAAATATTCCACATGCTAAATCAAACATTTTCCCTGAATATTTTAAATTAATAATTCATCAGTGTAAGAATTACACTTGTCATTTGGAAAAAATATGCTATGCAAATGGCTGATAGCATGTCATGTTCTGGTTTATTTAAGTACAGAAAGCGATGTGAGTGAGGAAGCCCGCACAGAGCGTCCCCCACTTTATGAACGCTCATTTCCTAGAACACGCATAGCCCCCCTGCTGTGTGTGCCTAGAGTGGCAAACACTGAGCAAAGAAAGCAGTTAGCACTAGAACACTTTTAAAAACACAATCACATTTCAAATAACCCCAAATTGGACTTCTCTGATAACATCTTATAATTACGAAAGAAATTTAATCTGGCAACTCATCTTTTCATTTTTAAGTTCATGCATTTCCCCACGAAGTAACCCAAACCATTACTAACCTACTATTTGTGTGTGTGTGTGTGTGTGTGTGTGTGTGTGTGTGTGGTACAGTGTGCTTTTCTTTAAAACAGACTATCAAAATAAGTTTTAAATGCTACGAAACCAATCACATGCTCCACATGAGAGTTTAACAATGGTTCACAATCCTCTGAAAGAAAACACAAGATCCACACCAGAAGACGCTCCGAAAGGATTAAACAGTCTTACAGCTCCTTACTGCGACTGACCTACACGAAATTCTGTTCGCGACAGGAAGAGACGCGAAGCAGGCCATTTGATGGGTCTATGGGACGTGATATACACCGCAGCAATATTTCTTTGAAAGAATACTTTTTTAGAAGCAACAGCACAATCCACTAATTAAAGCAAACCCGGGTCGCTACCACCCCACCGTGCCCCCACCCCCAGCAAAAACCCGCAACAGCGGGAGGAAAAGAAGATGCAAGTTGAAAACAAAACAAGGCTTGATCTAAGGGAAATAAACGCGCGACCCCGGGCGGGGCGGGCCGGGCGTTTCGGGGGCGCCCTCCCGCCCGCCAGGCCGGGGCGCGGGGACTCACAGAGCACGGCCACGGCCCCGGACTCGAACAGCAGGCATTCCTCCTTGTGCCGGGTCTCCACCAGGACGCTGAAGGGCGGGGGATCCAGCTTGTGGTAGACGCGGAAGCCCTTGCTGAACGCCATCCTGGCGCGGGGGCGGCCCTGCGGGGACGAGCAGAGCAGCTGCGGCCCCGGGAACCCCGCCGCCGCCCGGCCGCGCGGCGTCCGGGGCCTCCCCGCGGCTGCGAGGGAGCGGGAGGCCGCGCTCCCGGGCCGAACGGCTCGTTCCAGGAGGCCAGTCGCGCCCTCGTTTCCCCCGAGAGCGGGAGGCAGAGCTGCCGGCTCCCGGGCGAGCGGGACGGGGTTTTATCGATCGCTCCACGTTCCGGGCGCGGCGTGTCTACACACGGAACCTCCGAGCGCATTTCCCGGGGAGGCGTCCACCCGCCCCCCTCTCCCGGGTCGCCGCTGCGCGGAGAGGGAGCCCGTTCGGGAACCCGAAGGCGGCCCTCGGGGGCGAAGGCCGGGGGTGGGAGGGGGAGAGGACCCCGCCGCCGTGACCCGCGTCAGCACCCGGGACCCGGGCCTGACCCCGGCTCCTGGGAAGGCGGCTCCCCCCAGGGGCACGAACGGAGGCACCGAGCAGCAGCTCAGGGCGTCCGCGACGCCGGGACCGCCTAGGGCCCGGGACCGCGGGCGGCTGACAGCCGCTGTCACCACAGCCGCCGCCCGGCGGTGCGGCGCAGCCCGCGGTCTCCTTCAGCTCGCCCGCCCGCCCGCGCTCCAGGCGGCCCGCGGCGCCCTCCCCGCTCCGCCCGGCTGCGGCCGCGGACACTACCTCTGGAAGCGGCCACCCGCACACTCGGCTGCCGGTAGGTCTGGCCGCGGCCGCGCCCGCCCCCCGCCGGCTCGCTCACCTTTACCTCCGGCTCCTCCTCCTCCTCTCTCTCTCACAGCCGCCGGTGTCGGAAGCGTCACTTCCGCTCAGCGGGTCCATCTCTTCCGCATTGCACCGCCGCCCGGGGCGGAAGGCCCGCCCCTCGCGGGGAAGGGGCGGGGCGTCAGAGGAGACGCCTTCGCCCCCACGGAGCGCCCTGCGGGCCAGAAGCCGTTGGGGTGCCTGCCGCTTGGAGCGCCGCCGGCGATCTGTCTCCAGGCCGCAGCTGCGGGTCCCGCCGCTGGGGGTGCTGGAGATGGAGGAGAGTCCTCCCTGGCTACGCGCGTGGGTCCCTCAGAACTAAGGGAGGGACTCTGGGGAAGAGCTTGGCGGGCAGGACGAGGATCCCTGGGATGGGGGCGGGGTGTCAGGACCACCCGTGGCGCCCCCGGCGGCCAGTCAGGCGAGGGGCGGGGCCTGGAGAGCTGTCCATGGTGTCCTTCTGAGTGACCGGGCCTGCGGCCGGGAGAAAAATGCGTGCCTGTTTTGGAACAGCCCTGTGGTCGCCTCTTCTTCTGGGGTGTCCTGGGGCTCTCGGGAGCGCCCTAGAAAAGCGTGCTCACCTGGACGCGGGGTGGTGACTGGGAAGTCACCAACCCTGGACCTGTCCGAGGGCCAGGCGGCTGTCGTTTCACGTAAGGGCCACAGCTTGTGCCAGCTGTGGAGTTCAGTGACTGAAGGCACCCGGCCCCTTCATCTTGTCCTCATTTCTCAGCATCTCCTTGGAGGTAGCACGGTCCCCGGGACTTCTCACGGTCCCCGGGACTTCTCACTGTTGTAGCTCTAAGCGTGGAAATGAAGTCAAAAGCAGCAAACTCAACAGGAATCGAAATCCTCAAGCACCCAGCGCTCTGAGAAACCATTTCCTATTTTTCTTCTTCCCCTTAGTGCTCTTATGGTAACAGCAGAAGCAGAATTTAAATTTGGCGTCGTGCACAAAATCATTTCCTTCTGCAGGCCCTGTCATGTGTCTTGATTAACGGTTCCTCGTCCAGTTTAGAGAAGCTGGACCCACCCTGGTCTCAGGATTCCAAAGAGGCCGTTATCCATCAGAAGAGAGGCCACTTCTCTTCCAGGATACAGAATCGAGGGTTCTGTTCCGAGAACCAAAGGGCGTTTCTCTCACTCAGCCCTATCTCCCAAGAAAAACTGTTTGCTCTTGGTAGTGGTTACTGACAGCAGCCTCAGTATTAAACTCGTATTAAGATAATCCTCTGGTCCATGACTGCTTAGTTTTCTTTCTAGAAGAATCCATTTCCATTGGAGATTGCACTGGACAAAAAAGTACATGGGAGTGGGCGAGAATGGAATTTTCTTATTTCTTCCAATTAAACGGAAATGGGTGGAGGGTAAGCAGGACCCATTCCTAGAGTTGTCAGAAGGCCACAGCCTTTCCAAATCCTTTCAAAATTGATCATTTTCTCATGAAATAAGCACAAGCTTTACGATTTGAAAACATTAGGGCCACTTTTATTGACTTAAATACTGTTACTTTTTTGGTGCTGTTACCATTTCTTATTTATACTTCCTTGTTCATTGCACTTGAAAATAGAGGGACAGGTTTTCAGTGCAGGCCAAGTGGCACACAGGCTTCCGTGTGAGCTCTGAGGGCCCCCAGAGATGGGCCGTCTCTTTTGGCTCTTGACACAGCCCCAGGTGGGTGTTGCAGGTGGCAGATGGCGGCTGCAGTAGCTCCAAGGACTTCAAAGCAAACACCCTCATCTATACATGTTGGTTTTTAACCAAATTCTTTCTCTCTCCTATAGGCAAATTCTATCAGGTTACAACATGAAATTGCCATTTCTGCAGGCCTGAAGTACCCCACTCTAACAGTATGTCCCCAGTAAACTACAGCGAGGATTTACTAATTTAGAAATGAGTGACTGTCCCAACCAGTGACATAAAGTGTGCCATGTCACGGGGCTGGGTTTTGAGATGTTTGTCATGTCTGCCCTTTCCTCACAGCCCGTGTTCCTTATCTATTGTAAAATGCTAGAACGTGTTTGGTGAATTGGAGACTAAGTCTGATCCCATTAGCATGGCCAGCTTTTTTCAGGCCACACAGGCTGGAACTGTTAGATCGGCATCTGCAGGGACCCATTAGTGAGTACACAGAAAGGGACGGCTCCTCCCTAGCATTGCAGGACGTCCCCTCCTCAAGCCGGTGCTGGGTCCCCAAGCAGCAGGCGCCTCATAGGCGTTTGCAGTGTCTCATAAGGTAGCTTACGAAGGCTTCTACAGGGTTTGTCAAAATTTTATGGTTTACCATGTGCTTTACTCTTCAAGTACCGGATGAGAGGTGTATTTTCCTACAGCTCTTTGTAACTGGACCACAGCACATGTCCCTAGAGACACGGTGCTACTCATTGTCCCTGTGATGGACGAGTGACCTCCAAGCTCGTGCTGGAGTTGGAGTGACAGGGTGGGGGGGGGGAGGCCAGGGCAAACCGCCGGGCCCAGGCGTCTGAGCGTGCCACGGGGTGCCCTGCAGTGCCAACCCACAGGGTCATTTCTAGCCTGCCTGCTTTGGCCAGGCAGTTGAGGCCGTCCTCGGGAGCTGAGCACCCTATCCCCACAGGTAGTTCTAGTCCTGGAGGACGATCTCCAAAATTGATGGCCTTTTGATGCTTGAGGCCTCTCGACTCAGACATTCCTCACTGTTCTCCCTCCATGTAGAAATTCTGACCTTCCTCCTTTTCATAACCTACATCAAGGCCACAATGGCCTTTGTCCCCACCAGTGGATGGCCACACTCCCTGGACGCCCGGGTCACCCCGGGTTACACAGGCAGAGTCCTCATAACGGTGAAGAACCGCTACCATAAGCAACTTCCATTTTCATGCTGTAGTTTGCAGCTCTCCGACATTTGACTATTTTTAGGAGGGCTTCATGATTTCAAGGAAAACTAGAATTTAAAACAAAATTAGGTCTTTGTCAAAACTCGTTGAACTTACACATAACTTAAATGTTACTGTTTGTAAGCTACACTTCAATAAGCCTGGCTCTAAAAGTCAGGAATGCCCCAGATTGGTCCACTGGCATGAGGAAGGGGCTTCCTCAAGTTCATGCCATCTGGGCCAGCTCTGGGTGACGAGGCTGTCCCTGCAGGATGCTGCTCACGTTGACTGACGCTGTTGGGAGATGACCTGTGGGTCCCTGTCCTCCGAGACCAGGGAGTGGTACGGTCACACAGTCATGCCACTCGGGTCTCCGGTGAGAGCCCTCGGTGGCACCGGACCCCGCGCCCCGGGAGCTGCACTCTAGCAGTGACTGGCTGGTGGGCGTGCCGAGGCAGGGGTGCTCCGGAGACCTGGGACCCCTCGGAAGCAGGCCTTTGGGTGGAGGGCCCCGTCAGCCTTGCCACAACTCTCCCATCTGCACCCACGTCTGAGACCATCTTGGGTTCCTTCCCTCTACCTCACACAGGTCACTCCTTACCCCACACCTCAGGCCAGCCCAGCCCCCTCCCTCTCCTTTTCCCCAATGGGACTTAACCCCATAAACCTCTTGTACACCTAACAGCACCTCAGACTGCCACCCAGGGCCGCACAAACACACTGGGCTGTTTACCCCTCCACTCCTGCCTGGCTTTGGCTGGGGCTGCTCCCCAGGACCTCCGCTGGCGGACACCCCAGCCAGGCACACTGGCCGAGCCACACCCTCGGGAGGGCTGCTGGTGCTTACCACCGGAGGCCGTGGCTTCGCCAGGGACGTGGGTGGGCGCCGCCACCTCACACAGCAGCAGTGACCAGTCTGTGCCTCACGTTGGATCAGGAGCTTCCCTTTCCAGAAACCTCCATCACCTATTTTGAAGGTAAACCAGAAGCTCCACGAGAAAGAAACTGAAGACAGAGCTTCAGGTTTGTTCAAACATCACCCTCTGAACTTATCTTTTGATACTTCCCTTCCTAGGAAAGGACATGCTCCGGCGACTTCAGAAACGGAAGCTTCTGGCTGGGACGTGAGAACCACGTGTTCTACGCCAAAGTCACATCCCAACGAGGTCCTGGTGTCATGTCCAAACCCAGGCCTGACACTGAGTGACCCTGGTGCATTTCACACGATAAGAAATCCCCAAGTTTCCTGCAAGAATCCTTAACACAGAAAGAGAAGTAGCCAGTCTCTCCGTTTTGAAACACAAAGTTAAGGTAGAAATGACGTGCATGTCACCTATGTGCATGTTTCTGTTTTATTCCAGTACAGGTGAAAGTTAAGTGTCCTCATTTTAATTCTCTCAATCTGCTACTGCCACAGGACAGAACACCCACCCAGATGAACACGTGGGTGCAAGCCGTGCCCCCACCACAGACGGGAGGCTGAGAGAGCAGCCGGAGCACCCGGCGCCGCCCCACACACCGGATGCGCTGACCGAGGGCCCGCCCACGCTGATGCTCACTGTGTTGGACTCGTCCGAGATGCTGTCGCTAAGATTACTCGCCAGCAAATACAACAAAGGACCGAATTGAAAATTAATTTAATGCTTTGCTAAAGCTTAATTACATATAATTATCAAACAAGTCCTAATTTCCAAAAAGTTCCTCTTTTGAAAATCACAGATCAGAAGGCGTAAACTTTAAAACAAGTTCTCCGAATACTTACAGCGTGGCATAAACATGGTAGAAGACCTTGGATATTGAATTGCCAGGGTGTGTGGTGGACCAGCAAGGCATGTTCTTTATTGCATATGTGACGCACGCATGTGGGGGTTCAAGTGCACAGACCACCAACTTCAAATGCATGCACTTGTAAGCTGGCCGGGGAGGGAAATCGTAACGAGACGGGACAGTCAGCCCAAAACCCTGCAGCTGGACTATGGGTCTATTATTTCCAAAAACGAAAACTTCCACGTGCTTTTAAAAACCTGTGCTGCGCACAGCAGTGGAGTCCACAGGAGACCCCCAGTGGGCTGCGACCCGACCCGGGGAAGGAGGCGCGCCATGCGCCCAGGGCCGCAGCCCGTGTGCTCGCAGGGTTAAGGCAGCAGGCGACAGCGACTGCTAACTGGGAGGGAGGACGCCGGGTCACTGGCCAGCCCTTTGTTCAGCAGTGGAGCGATGTTCCTAAGACGTTTGCTATGGAGTAATCCTCTGCTGTTAAAAGACTTGCTCTGTAGAAAAACCCCCGATTTCCGGTGCGAGAGGACCTCCATGGCGGCAGAGAGAGACGCATACATGACACCGCTGGGACAGTGCGCAGAGAACCAGCGGGGAGGCTGTGGGTACCAGGCACAGAAAATGCTTCCGCGACCAGCGGCGGGCAGGCCGGAAGGAAAACACTCATCGACCCTCCTAGAAATGCTCTGAACCCTTCGTTCCAGAGAAATCGCAGTTAAGGACACAGAATTGAATAGTAATGTTCTTTGTATTAAAACAACAACCATTTTACAGTTTAAGAAACTTTACATATATACAAAATTTATACATTAGGAATGGTATTAAAGCAAGCAGGCTTCTCAGTCGCATAGATCTATTTTCCTTCAATCAAAGACTTAAATTCTTTCACATTATGGTCACTTGCAACAGACATAGCGTGATCCAGGGCTCGGACACTTGCAAGGAGTTTTACTATCTGCTTTATGTTTTCCCTAGAAGAGAAAAAAATGCAGCAGAATCTCATTAATTTGTACAAAAGCCCTAAAGGAAAAATTTGTCATTAACTTTACGACCATTTTTGAGGTTTTGCAATCTTCCTGTATATATATATATATATATAGGTACGTATATCCACATAAAACAACAGTTTGTGTACCTGACCAGCCCAGAGACAGAGGACCCATTTTCAAAACCGAAAATGCCCACAATGTCACTCCGAGAAGCCATTTTCATGAAGACCCAGAAAAGGGGAGAAAGCGATCTCCTCCAAACCACCCGGGGCTCTCCCGTCGCCCCCCAAACCCGAGTCCTGGCGGCACTCAAATCCCACCACACACCCGAGAGGCCCAGCGTCACTTCGGCTCTTCGGAGCTCTCGGCAGAGCCTCACCTGTTTGCTCCACCTTCCGGTGGAAGCCATTCTCCTCTCATTAAGACACCCTCCAATTCTGGCAAAGGTCAGAACGCGGGCCCTGCTCAGACACGGGTCACCGGCCAGCCCAGCGTTCTGGTTCGGGGGGGAGGGGCGGGCTGGAGCGCCTCCAGCCAAGCTCCCAGGCGGTGCAGGCACTGCTGGCCCAGAATCGCACTGGTAGCCAGAGGGCCGCTGGGGACAAACAGCGCACAGTGCGACCCGGCCGCCTGTCCCTTCCCCAGGAGACTGAGGGGAGCACCTGTCAGGGAAAGGCTACAACCTGCACGGCTGCAGACCCTGTGGGGCGGGGCCTCTTCTGTGGGCATTGCACCAGCAGGTGCCCAAGCAGATGCCATTTGTGCATATTTAATTCCAACCAAAACAGTATTAAAAAGCAAGCAAAATTTATCTAAGAAAAGACAGCACCTTGAGAAGAAATGTTAGTGACAACAACCTAACAACCGACACCAAAGATGAAATTAAAGTATAAAGCAGTTACCTGCCACAGAATTTTACCACTAAAGTTTTTACTACCTACTTTGTTTTTACTTTTTTAACGTAAAAGACAACAAATTTCCTCTTTAAAAAAGAAGGTCCCTTTACATGGAAGAGGGTAAGATTAACATTGTGATTTAAATGAAAAATGAAACTGTTAGGAAGGCTGTATGAAAGCAATGTTCAGAAAGAAAATTCTTTCAAGTTGTACTGGTTTATTATTTACTTTTATATGCTAGAGATTTATCCCAAATGAACAAACATCCAAAACAATGTCCACAAAAAGAAACACCCATGGTCTCTGACGTGGAGACGGCACCCTCCACGCAGAGCACTCTCCTGGCGGTGGGGGACACTCAGGGCACCCAGGTCCCTCTGATGGGCTTTCCCAGGGCGCACATCCGCAGGAGTCTCCAAAGACCAAGGCCCAGGGCATTCTCAGAGCCTGACATGCCCCCAACCCCTCAAATGAGGAGACGGAACACTATGACTCATTCATTCCCCTTAGGCCTGGTCCTTGCCAGCTGTCTTGTCTTAATGCCTTCAAAAATATCCTATTGAAAAAGATTAGGTAAAACCACACACACATACACAAAAATGTGTATTTTGGGTATGTTTACCAATACTAAGTCAATGTACAGTTTCAACTAAAATACAAACATGTCTCTAAACATTTTCATAATACTTACTACTGACTGTAACGACTAAGGACTAGGTCACCATTTCATTAAGTAATCACAATAATTACCTTGCATTTCTTTTTTCCACATCAGAGCATCCGATGCTGTTTCTATAAATCGTATCTGCTAAGTGTACGAGGTACCGACAGAAGTTTTCTAACTGAGAAATGGTCCTCTCTCCTTTCAGGTTCGCGAACCACTGCTTGGGGAAACAATTGATGACCTGCAGAGAAGGTGCAGAACAAGGGGCTGAACCACAGGAGGCAGCCGTGCCCACCAGCTGTGTCCAGACCGTGGGGTCCTGGTTTAACCAGAGGACTCACTACTGAACTTCCTACCCAGTTTTCCTTCATACACCTGAACTTTTACTTGAACATACGAGAGAGGTGCTCAAAGCAAAAGACAAATAATTTGTCCAATCTACGAATGTATTAGGGACGTAATACTGTAACCAATTGCTTCATCCTTTGGTCTTCCTGAAAGCCCTAAATGAACCTATTCTCCTGTGTCAGCAGCACTGGACTTGAGAGCACGTGCAGTTGAACCGCCACAGGCCACGCCGCCCCGGGCTGGTGCGCAGGCCCGGGCACTGTGCTGGCCACGCGGCAGGGCGGGCCCAGAGCGCGGGGAAGAGCTTCACCCCAGAGGGGCAGCGAGGGCAGGAGCCTACGCAGGTGATGGGGCCCGGTGGCAGCACAGACCCACGAGTAGGGAGGCCGGCCCCCCACACGCGAGGGCAGCCCACGAAAGGGCATCATCAGTCCAGTGTGCAGAGCACCCAGGGGCTTGGAGCAGTGACTGAATCCAGGACGGGCTGAGCAGGGGTCGGGGGGCCTGGGCGTGGCGAGCCGGAAAGCAAGACAGTGCTCCCCAGAAATGAGAGGATGTGTCACAAGCTCACAGAGGTCAGTGTGAAGGGACTGCCACTGATGAAATCTACCAAAGATGCAGAATCTGAATCTACTGAGACTATCAGACACACCTAAACTGAGGGACATTCTACAAAATAACAGGTCTATCCTCTTTAAAATACCAAGGTTATGAAGGTCAAGAAAAGACTGAGGACCTGACTCTTCTGGAGCAGAGAGATGGAGGAGACAAGACAATTAGGTGCGAGTGATGACCCGGGAGCCTGCTGCCAGCCGACACGGCCGTCTGCGTCATTACCAACAGTCACGATGGAGCTCAGCCACCTCCGGGGGGGCCGCCGGCCGGGTCGGAGTCAGGGAGAGGGGTGCCCGTGTTTACAGGACGCAGACAAGGCCGGGGCTGCCTGTGTCCTGTGAACACGGGGCCTTCCTGTCGGAGGGCTGGAGATGCCCTGCCAGGGACATCCTGACGCCATCTGGACAAACTGCACTGCACTTGCAAATCTGTCTCAATTTTACGATCATTTCAAAAAATATTTAAAAAAAGACCGAATTATGGAACTCATATATGAAGTAGAAAAAACACTATTAAAAAAATAATTTCTTTTCTCAGCCGGCATAGCTCAATGGGCTGGGCATTTTCCCACAAACCGAAAGGTCGTGGATTCAATTCCCTGTCAGGGCACATTCCTGGGTCTGGGTTTCAATCCCCGGCTGGGGCATGCGCAGGAGGCAGCCAATCGATGTTTCTCTCCCTCTTTCTCCCTCCCTTCTCACTCTGTCTGGAATCAATAAAGGAAAAAAATTTTTATCATTTCTTAAATGAGAAAAGAAACTATTTATTTGGTAACACTGGGGAAAAAAGCACTTATTCGGACTGAGTGCCAGCCTATGAACCAAAGGGTCACTAGTTCGATTCCCACTCAGGGCACATGCCTGGGTTGCGGGCCAGGTCCCCAGTGGGGGGTGCGTGAGAGGCAACCCCACATGGATGTTTCTCTCCCTTTCTCCCTCCCTTCCCCTCTCTAAAAATGACAGGATAAGAAAGCCTCGCAGGTTGGACCCACCTGGGTGGTCACAGTGACCGCCAACCTCACACGAAGCCCAATGAGCAAAGGGGTTTCTGTGAAGTCTCAAAATCCCCTTCAAACAAACAAGACAGCCCACTTTAACTCACGTGCCTTGAAAACTCTAGTAGGTACCACTCAACTCACACTTTGGGCTTTCCTGATGCTGTCGTCTCCACACTCCGAGTTCTGAAAAGCCATGAGAATGTATCTATTTAACAGGCCGTCGATGGCCAGCTCCTGAAGGGTCTTGTTCGAGAAGATGCCGCTCCACTGAAGAAAATTCCCCAGCAGCTGGGAGAGAAACGAACGGTGAGCGGCCTCGACCCGTGGCTCCTGTCTCGTCCTGCCCGATCCCAGCGGCCCTGCTTTTCCCTCGGTCTCCCCAGTGTCACCTCCTCAGGGACAAAGGGGACCTTCAGTGGCTCACTGGTCAGGGTCTCTGTGCCCCTTGCCCACTGCTCCCCACTGCCTTGGATTTCTCCCTGCCCTGAGGTCACTGGCTCCCTGTCTGTCACCTCGGCAGGGTCGCAAAGGCCGCAGGGCCCCCGCCCCGTCTTGCCCAGGGCTTCGTCAGAGGGACCCAGAAGGTGCCGGGCACACTGCTCTTTGAACAAACGGCGGCACTTTGCTGACTAGCCTGGACCTGACTGTGGGACTCAGAGTTCGTTTTCCCCTGCGGAAACATCAAACTTCGGGGAATAATGATTTCGCAGAATGGAGACTCTCTATGTACACATATATCTAAGCCTATGGCATTAAATGCAAAGATGCTTTTCAAAACATTATGTATAATGTCAGGCAAATCTGAAGTCTTCTAGACACCTCACACATACCTTAACCGAAGACCAAAACTGCCGCTGAAAAAACAAGTACGGCCCCGAGTTTCTATTTTCTAAGACGCTAAAAGAAAAACACACCACGTTCAAATATTTTAGATGCAAATACCGCACCCTTCCTAGGGGAGAATGTTTCTACAAGTAAAACGGGTAACAGAAGAATGAGACAATTAAAAAAAAAGTTTAAACGACTATAATCCCGAAGACAGGAAGTGTGAAAAGTGGAAACTGACCCCGAGCCACCACGGAGGAAGCACGGGCGTCACCCACGCGCCTCTGCTCGAGCAGGGCGTCCCCGCAGCCCCGGACCCCTCGGGCCTTCGGTCTGTACGACAGAGGTGACGTTCATGGTTCACGCGACCATCACTCTTCCAGAAAGCCAGCCTCCTCAGGGGAGTGATGGAGGAGGCCACCACCGGAGCCGTCCTCGGGTTTACTCACTTTTTGGGATACAGGGGCATGAACACATCGTCATCTAACGTTCTCCTCATCCTCAGCAAGAGCGCTTTCAGGTATAACTGAAGACAAAAACAGACCACACGTTCCAGTAAGGGCTGGGACAGGCGAGAAATTAAAAAACGAGTAACAACAGGCCGTATCCCGAATCACAAGCTAAGTGCTGGGTTTGGAGTGAGCGTCTTATTGAGTTCCTCACTTCCCTCGTTGAAAGCCCGAGGTCTTTGATGCCCACTGCCCCGTGGGTCCCCAACAATCACCAAGCCGTGAAGCCACTGAGAAACCTCTCGCCCTGCCGTCTACTCTGTAAAGGTCTGCGATCAGACACAACCTGGTTCTGTTCGAAATTATGCTACCAAAAATGTAGCAATGACAAAGAGCACTCTTCTGTCTGAACAGCTCTTAAGAATGTCCAATGAGGGATGACAGCAATTTGAAATTTGGAAACTAGTGATAAAAAGATGCCTCGTGGTTTTACATGCTATTTAAATGTTTTAGCATTTAAGTCATCAACAATTACCCATTCTAGTAGCTTTACATTTTCCTTTTTCTAAAACACACAACTCATATAGAGCCACTTGCCCAGTCCGACTGAGCGTTGGAGGGGGTGTTAGGAAGGCCGAGAACAGGAGACCGGGAGGCGCCGTCCCACGCCAGCGCGCTGTGAAACGAGGCACCGCCGCCCCACACTGTGCGCATTTCCGGCTTCATACAGCACCGGGAGGCCCAAGCAGGCCAATCGGATCTTCCCGCTGACTCGGGACCCAACCTCGCACCCCCTCCGCCCCTGCTCACTTCCAAAAGGACAGGGAGAACGAAGACCGTTCCCGGACGCTAACCGGGTTACCTGTGTGTTTCTGTTTTCTGCGTTCACTGCTGAAGGGTATCCGTCTACTAGTTTTAATGTGATCCCAACCATCCGTGAAGTCTGTGTTGTAGAAAAGGGGTCCCACATGTTCTCCGCTATCACTGTTGAGAAGAAGGCAGAACGTGCTGAGACACAGTCAGATCGCAGCAGACTAGGTCTGAGGCCGAGCATCTTCCATGCACAAATGCTGATTTCCCTCCAGACTACAAGCCTTTGTCCCACCAACTGCGGGGAAGCTGAGGGTCAGGCGAATGTGGAGAGAAGACAGACTCCTCTCTTTTCTACTGATCAGTAAAAATAAAAACAGGAGAAAACTTTCAATATCCTAACAAATACTGTCCCAACACCAAGAATCTCTACCTGAACCTCAAAAACTATTTTTACTCCTTTAATCGGTTCCTGTATCCGTGATTTCTAACCCTGTGAGAAACTCCTCTCCAGAACAGCGCGTGCGCAGGGCCCCACGTCCACTCTGCGTCAGCACCGACGCGCAGGCCCGCCCCAGGGCGCCCGGTGAGGCCCGGGCGGAGAGACACGTATCTGCCCGCAAGCTGCCTCTGGGCCTGGTGCCAATGTTCCCAGGCAGTGGCCACGGCCCCCGGGACCCCAGTGCGTGGCTTGGAGCCCACCTGCCAGCTTGGGGAGGAGCACCTTCTCCACGACCGTGGGCAGCAGCGCCGTGTCCACGTCCCCCCGCTCCTGCTCCCGCTCCTCACAGCCGTAGAAGAGCAGGGACTCGAACCACAGCATGCTCTCAAAGTCCCGGCACTTGGCCTGCAACAGAAGACAAAGGCCACCCCAACACATGCAGACAGCAGCTACCGCCGCTGCCGGCCACTCCGAGAGCGGACCTGGGCCTGACCTTTGGCCACAAAGAAGACAGAAGTGGAAGGAACCCAGGATGACCCCCGTTTCCAGACCACACAGCACGGGCAGAACAGGACTGTGACCCTTGAACGAAGGGAGGGGAGTGAGGTGGCCGACACCAGGAGGGCGGGGCAGGGAGAGTCCCGCTTCCCACTGCCCCCACCTTTGTGCCACTAGCGCAGGCCCTTATTTCATATGACTCTAGGTTAGGTTCTGGGACCTAACGACCAAGTTCTTCCTGCTCCTTCATGGTCACAGTCCAGTTTGGAGACTGAGAAGAGCACTGTATATAAACTGAAGAGCAACAGCTGGCCCCCGAGCTCTGTGAGAACACAGACCCCAGACTGCAGCCCTGTGCCCTGTACTCCTGAAACACACCTTGCTGAGCTCGCCGCCCCAGCCTGGAGAGGACTGCCACCGAGGGACCACATCGCACGGCTTTCTCGCAGCGACAGAAGCCACCCACCTCGAGAGGAGTCCAGGTGAGAAGCTGCAGCCTTATGAGGGGGTTGAACAGCTTCGGCAAACACAGGCCGATGTAAGCGTCCTTGTAGGACGTGTAGTACTTTGAACGCCACGCTTCGAACTGGGACTTGATACAGTCAATTGAACAGAAACTCTCCAGGACATCTTCAAAAACCTTGCTGGACTCTTTCGAAATGCGATCTAAAAACAACAAAACCCCAGAGAACCGGAATTTAGTAGACACTAGAGAAAACACAGCTTCATATTTTCAGCGTTTCCTCTGTAGCTTAAGCATCAAAGAGACAAGCTCACCAACAAAGTAACAGTCACTAATTACAGTTTAAAAGATGATGAACAGTGGATTGAGTGCAGGTCTGCGAACCAGAGGATCGCGGTTCAATTCCCAGTCAGTGCACATGCCTGGGTTGCAAGCCAGTTCTCTGCAGGCCAGTTCCCAGCAGGGGACACACTAGAGGCAACCATACATTGATGTTTCTCTCCCCCTCTCCTTCCCCTCTAAAGATAAATAAATAAATATTTAAAAAAAAAGACGATGAACAGGTAAACGCAGGTTCCAACCCAAAGAGCAGCACTTGCTTCTGAATGGCCCTGTGTGCACCACTTCCTGTCGCACGGTTCAGTTCAAGAACAGCGTCCCCAACAGCTCGGTTCAAACTTCAGTTGCCGCGGCCTGTCCGCTGCAGTGACACAAAGTGCCAGCTCTGCCACTGACTCTTCCACCCACTGGTCACTGGGTCAGTAACACATGTGCATCACAACCGTGACCAATGTCTTTCCTTCCCTAGTCCCCTGCTGACTGCAGTGACTGCCACAGGCAGGAGTCAGCGAGCAGCATTTGCGGCAAGCGGAAGGGGACGAGGTGCCCCAGGTGACTGGGGAGGGGAGATCTTTACCACGGAGAGACCTGGTTGGGGCAACACCTCAGAATCAACCTTCACACTGCTAACAGCGGGGCTGACGTCTGTCGGGGTACCAGGCAGGAATCAACAGCACCTTGTATGAAGTATTCTCGCCAAAAAAGAGTCAACCTCAGTCTGATCGAGGTTCCAGACCTAAATTCCAGGTCAAGGAAGAAAAAGTTGCCAGCGAGAGGGATGGACGACCCTGAGACGGAGGCCGTCCTGCACCAGTGGCCTGGTCTCCCCAAAAAGCCAGCATCTCAGACAAACACTACGTAACAGGGGTGTGTGTGTTACATGCTTCTGAACACACGTTAATTCTCTACAAAAAGGTGTAAGAATCATCAAACACAGGGCAGAACCTCATGTGGACCCTGGTTTGAGAAACACCTAACCACCCACACAAAGGGCATCAAAGTGTTCTCGGGCGGCCGCCACTGACGTCACTGAACGCAGATGTGACGTAAGGAATTTCAGTTGGGCCCTGGCCACACGGCCCAGGTGGTCAGAGCGCCACAGCTTTGCACCAAGGTTGCGGGTCCCACCCCCGGTCGGGGCACACAGAGGCAGCAACCACTGAAGACACCAGTAAGTGGAACAACAAACTGATGTCTTTCTTCCTTCATCTCTCTTTCTAAAATCAGTGAATTAAAAAAGTGTTCTTTAACTTTTAAATAAATTTTTTAAAAGTTCTGGCTAATTTTCTTGGGTGCAACAATGGTGGTGTGATTAGGCCAAAAGAGATCCTTGTTTCTGGAAGACACAGAGAGGTTTCCAGAGGTGACTTGTCATGACGCGTGTGAGCTACTTTCACAGGGTCGGCAAAACATACACACGCCCATGTACCGAGAGTTCAAGCTGCCTCGGCCAGACGGTGCCACGAACCAAGGCTGCGTGACAGGCATGTGGGCGATCGCCATGTTATTCTTTCAAGTTTTCTGTATGTTTAGCATTGTTCACTATAAATAAGGGGAAGAAAAGTAAGTTCCTCCAACTGAGTTCCAAAAGGCTGCAGCCGACGTAACTCTAAGTAACTGCAGCCAAGGTGGGGACGAAGGCTTCCTGTCGGGGATTCTCCTGCAAACGCCCAGCACAGAGCCCACTGCCCACTCCTCCCGCTGACGTTACTCGGACCCCGAATCAGGAGCCTCCCTGGGTCACGGTCCCCACCAGCTGCCTTTCCAGGCCAGATGGCCGCCCCTGGGACCCAAGAGACTTCGGTCACTTAGGACTCCACGACTCTGCAGAGCAGCGTCTGCTATGATACAAGTACTAACCCCCCCGTGGCAAGGGGTCCACGCTCTTTTTGAGAGCTCGTCGTGCTGTTCGGAGTGAGAGCCGGCACGAGTCTCCAGGACGAGGCAGTGGTTGCTCACATGGGCCCACACACGGCCACACACTGCATTTCTGGTAAAACCTCACCGCCCAGCGGAGGCCGCGCACAGCGATGCTGCTTCCAGACGCACGCCTCACCTTTTTCCAGATTGAAGTTGGTGATGTCTGTGGATGTTTCTTCATCGTCACTGGAAAGGCCTTCGAGGTGATCAGCCATCTTACCGGTCTGCTCTCTGGCTTGTCGCCGGCGAGTCCTAGAAGACGGACACTGAGCTCCCAAATCGGCCCCTGCGCTGCCGCCGCCCAGCCCCACCAGCAGCGGCCCCCCCCAGGACCCACCTCCTGGCCTCCCGCTCCGCGATCCGGCGCTTGGCGTGCTCCTGGCACAGGGCTCGGTCTCGCCCAACGGAGTCCAGGTTTGGCGCCATCAGAGCTTTGTCTGCAAGACAATGCCGGCCCCAGTTAAAAGCCCCCCACCAGTCTCGCGGAAGAGTCTGCACAGAACAAGCCACAACCACAGCTGCTCGCTGCCCTGCCCCCAGCGCAGGGCCCGGCCGCAGTCGACAGCCCGACCGCCTAGTTCAGAGCCAGTCTCGGCATCGCCACGTGGGCCCCCCAAGAGGAGAAGGAAAGCCAGTGAGAGCCCTCTAGAGATGCACCCAGACAGCACCCCTCTTTTTACGTCGGAGGAAAGAAGGTGATGCTCCCATGAGGGCCAAGTAAGTTAAACAGCCACATTCCCCGGGCAGAGGGAAACAGCAGGTTACTTCTCAGAAGGCACTTCAGCACCACCAGTTGAACGAAACAACACGACAGGAAAGAAATCCAGACTGGACGAGAGCGCAGCCTCGCTGCAGGAGCCAGATGCTCCGCCCTCTGACTCCCACTGCTCTGCAGGGACGCGCTCCCCACCCCGGGCTGGGGACAGGGCAGGCTGAACGCTGCCTCTGAACGGCACCAACTCATGCGGTCTCAGACACCGCTCTTTGAAAGCGCCGTTCCCAATTTCTTTCTTACCTATTTTTCATCTTTCTTTTTTAACTTCCCAGGGCAATTTTTAGGCTTTAGCCTCCAACCTGCCTATTTGAATTTACATGTGGTCGCCCTATTGTCAGTTTCCAAGAGGTGATTCCTGTTCTGAGGACGTCCCTTCCCGACAGCGCCCTCCACTGGTCTGAGCTGCCTCCTGCACTGCCTCCTGTGCTGGGCTCTTGGACCACAGTCAGCTACCTCCTGTACAAAGGCCTGGCCAGCCTGCAGATGGGGCTGGGGGGCTGTGGACAAAGCGGAGGGCTGTCTCCCAGAGCCCTGTCCCTCAGATCACTGAGTCAACAGTCAACTCTTTGCTTGGGGCCCCAAGGCTGTTTGTGCCCCTGGGTCTTCTCTCAGAAGCCACTCTCTTTCTCCACTCTCTTTCTCACCTCTTGCCTAGGGCCAGGAGGAGGAGTGAGGAACGTCTGTCCTCCGTTCCGCGAGCCTCCCCTCACTTCCCTGTGGCAGTGCCACATCAGGAAGATGACTCTGCCACACACTGGGTCCTCACCAACCCTGCCCGCTGGCCCTGGGACTGCAGGTGGAACGAGGGAGGCGTGAGGAAACCCACTTCACTGCAGGCTGATGACGTGGGGGCAGCAGGGGAAACCCACGTAAGATCAAAGAAAAGCTTCCAAATGCATTTACCCCGGATACGCTGCCACCGGCAGCAACAGGAAAAAACCAGCAGCGGCCCTCGTCATTGTGACTCTAACGGCCCCAGACCCTGTTGTTTCAAAGCTGACTTCCTCGCTGAGTGTTTCATGGTGAACCACAACAGCTCAGAAACTAGGAAGGATGTTCCAGCATCCACAAATCACAAGGAAAGATTCGTACCTAAGATACCCCACTTTACCCCAAATGTGCATTCAGGGCACGCCATGATGAATTCGTTAAAAAACCCTGAACTACAGAAACCATCCCTGCCTGTAAGGGGTATCCTTCATTACAGAAATGTTTTAAAGAATATGCACTACTACAATAAATACTTAAAGTGCTGGCATGCTCACTGATTTTTAAAAATCAATACTGAGGGAGACTGCATGCTGACGGCCCCTCCCTTCGAGAGAACTGTGTAGGGGCTGTGACTGGTGCCTACAAGTCTAAAGAGATGACTTCCTGCCTTCCTCGCTTCTTCGTGCTTCTTCATACAAACTTCAGAAACGCAGCCCACGTGGTTTCCCTGACGTCCTTGGCAGTTAACGAACACGTCCTCTAGGGCAGTATTTTTCACTCTCTTGTTACTTTTCGATTTCTTTCCAACTCTCAGCCTCATTAACAAATATCGTGCCATTCAACTCTTCCTTCCAATTCCAGGCAAGTAAATAGCTCCAAATGATAAAGAACGGACTATAAGTAGCAGGAGGCATCTGATGAAAGGCACATCTCGGTGGCCCCTTCGTCGGTGTGACAGTCACCCGCAGCCTGCCCCAGAGACCTGCTTCTGGGCCAGACGTTAGCCCAGGGGGACGCGCTGCCTTGTCAGGTGCCCAGCCAGCGCAGCAACCCTCCCGTCTAAACTCGGGGGGCAGCACTGAGGCCCAAGACACCACAGGGCTCCCAAATCTGACTTGCTCTGTGCTGCCCTGACCCACCAGGCACACAGGAGGGCACCTTCTGGAGGACCCTATCTGACAAAGCACTGTTTTCGGGAAGCCTAAGTCCAAGGCCCTAGCCTAGCGCTCGGACGACCCGAGGTAGCTGTTCAGTGTGCAGGTGAGTGATGACGCCACCGGAGACCGAGGAAGACTCTCTGGGGAAAGGACCAGGAACCCGCGGTGGAAATGACCGCCACAGGTAACTGTGCTGCACGCGTACATTTGAGAACCGCCGGTACAGGCAGCAGCGGGCGGCGACAGCGGCCCCGACCACGGGCTCCGACCACCCCGTGCCGGGAGTGGCTGTTAAAGCGCCCGCAGCACGGCAGGCAGTGGAGGAACAGAATGAAGACACTGAAGACGCCTGGTTAAAGGAGCTCAGCTGAACTATATACTAGGAAGGGTCCAGTTAACTGTGGTTTTCCATAACACACATCACAGTGAAAGGAATATAAATCTGATTTCTAAATTTTTACACTAACGTTTCAGGAAATGCAGGCATCAGCTGACTTACTAGAAAACCTAGTATCGTTTAAAAGACAAACTGCAAAATGCAAGTAATTTTGCTTTTATCTAAAAGGCAAAGCCCAAAGCTCATCTGTCATGTAGAAGAAAACCGCTCTGCCCCCCGAACCTCCCTGGGCCCTGAACTTGGACTCTCCCCATGGCCACTTACAGCGTGTGCGTCTGCGTGGCCAACGGGACGGGCGCGGGGACAGAAACTAGTCAGAGCCAAACGGACAGCGGTTCTACGGTAAAACTCCGTGCGGCCTTTTCTAATGCTGGAGACAAAAACGCGTGCACAGAGGCGGACCGACAGCACGGGCACAGGTTTCTGAGCCCGCCGGAGCTCTGCGTTCTTAAACACAACCCAGGCTCTCAGTTCTAGATCTACTTAATACAAGAGCAAGGGGATCCCTTTATTTAAAAAAACAAGATGCTCTGAGATCTCTAATTTTCAGTCTGGCTGCACTAAGTAAACAAGGTTGTTTAATGAATAATAAAAACCTTCAAGATGGACTGACTTGAATGGCTTGAAAACTCCGAAGATTCATCTTTAATATCATCTTGTCGTCTTTGGACAAGGCGGGAAGCTCGCTGTTTGTACAGCTGATGAATTGCTGATTCAAGTTCGTTAATCAGTGGCACCTGTGGAAATACAACACACTCCGTAACACCCAACCCCTCAGCTGCGCACTCATCTGAGGGTTCCGTACTATTTCCAGATTTCTGAAAAAGTACCCTCTAAGGACAGGATAACCGTGAATTCCCAACAGGACACAAACAACAATTCGCTTTTCAGATGTTTAGGAAACATGGCTTCTTTTAACCCACACGTGGAGCTATGATGCCCGGCACCCAGTTACTGGAGCAAAAGCTTCAGAAAACTAACACGTCAATATCAGTAAAGAAACGTCAAGAGTGCCACTGCTTTTCTTTTAGGGTAAAGCACTTGGCAGACCCTTCAAGTCCACCCTCCGTTTTCCAGCCGTGCGACCTGCCTCGCGATTTGCGCAGCTCGCAGCGACCCAGCAGCACTGCGACACCCAGCAGGAGCCATGGCACCCGGCTCTGCCGCCGCCACGCCCCCTCAGTGCTGGCAGCTTCATCTCACGATTTAAATGCAGACTGTGTTCGTCCACACTGATGAGGCAGATAAAAGTTTTTTGCTTTCACTAACTCCTCTGGAATCAACCTCAGAAAGCTCTTCTCATCAAATGTTGAAACGTTTCCCTATTTTGTGAGAAAATCATTCTTCACGTGAATGACCACTTTATGAAGCCAGCAAGTTTTCCAGGTCGCTGCCTGTGACTCCGCGTCCACGTGTCTCCCGTGGAAACCAGAGCTCACAGAACGAGGCCCAACTTGAGAGAAAAAAGCAGGAGACGCTGTTTATAACGTTATGCTATAACCAAATGCCTAGGGAACTTGCACGCACACCAGCGACCACCACATACCCCCGAGGAAGCCAGAAAGCCCGGTTTCCTGGTGGGCGGTGCAAACGGAGAGCCCGCTATTCAGAGTCAGGGGCACACTGCAACACCTTCCCCAACAAACAGACTGCGAGCGCAAACACGGCAGGCAGGCGAGCCATCACGGAGTCCGCAACAAAGGCCACCGCAGCACCTGCAGGATCCTCCACGCATGTTCACAGAAGGTCCACGCACCGAGGTCACTTTATTCCCAAAGTACCGCCCCACGGGCAGCGCACCCCCAAGCCTGCACTGATCACCCCCGACAGCTGAGCCCAGAGATGGTCTCTGAAGTTTACGACAATCCGCGGCGTGGCTGCCACTCCCCCGAGCCCTGCGTTCTGCACCACGCAGGGCTGAAGACAAGCAGCGCCGCCCGCCCCGGCGAGTGTGCACACCACTCTCCCTGAGCCGCAGCGGCAGAATCCACTCTCTCCATCTCGTCACACCTTCCGTGGTGCGATTTGCCTGCCTGGGTGACTGGAATGCCTCACGAAGCCCAGAGAAAATCTGACTGAGGTTAAAAGCCCTAAAACGCACTTTCAGCTCTCACTTGTGTCTCTTAACAATACTGACTTATCTCAAGAGGACACTTTACCCTCTCCAAACTCAAAACTGTGATTACTGACTCTCGTTACTTCAAGGCCAAATGCAAGAGGAGGAACACAAGACAGAAGGTGACCACAGGGGAAGAAGACGATGGAGACGTACAACGACCTGCAACAGTTAAGAATCTAAGTTCAAAACCACTGAACACTTCTGTAATAAAAGATGAAAATCAAAGAAATGTTTACCTTTTTATAGTTTTACCCTGAAACAGCATTTTTATGGAACTAGAATGAATATTCAAATCTATCCAATTATTCCTATGTCCCGGATGACAATTTATGGCATTACTCACTTAGCAAGGGCCTATTAAAATTGAGCATGAGCGTATATGACAAAAACAAAATGCAGTAAAATACTCATCTGAGACACGGATTTATCCACCTCTTTTAATTAAAATGCAGCCACTGTGTGTTATCTGAGGTTTGAGATCTGCTCCCAAACCGGTGCCCTGAGCCACCGAAACATCAGCAGTGCCGGCCAAGCAGACCTCTCGGGGACAGGGCAGCCACGCAGAGACCAAACGCACTGCCGATTGCTGATGAAGCTGATTGGGAAATGAGTATAACGTTAGAAGCTACATGAACTAAACGGCCTCACTGTCTCTTTAACGCAAGATTTGCAAACCTAATGGACCCTGTGGCTGTCACTGTTTCTGAAGAGCTCAGTTTGCAATCAGGAGCACGTGACAAGTTTACTGACTTTACTGACGTGCCTTCCAAAGCAAAGGCCAAAGGCCTAGGGCCAGCTCCCAGGGACAAACGTCACTTACAAGTGCGGTTTGAGACAAAGATCCTTTCTCTAACCACAAAAGGTTGGCTCCCGCCTTGCCCGCCGAGACCCAAGGGCAGTATAGGTGGGAGAGACACACCTGCCAGCGACACTACCCTCCACCGCCTACACAGGGCCGGCCTGCGTCTCTCCCGACCCTGCACTGTGGACCCTCCGCCATGGGTCTGCCACAAGGGACACGTCACAGCTCAGCTGCAGCTGCTTCCCCAGAAACCAGGTGGTAGAGACAAGAACGTGGTAAACCCTGCAGAGGATGCCCTGGGTGCTGCCTGGACCCGACCACGGCGGCTGGAACCAGGAAAGCCCACGAGGAAGACACAGTGTGCAGGACTCTCTTCCAGCCTGTGGCTTTAGGGAACTAAATGGATCAGCAGGGACAGTAACAAGTTACAACACGCTTGTGAACACTCGTGTGCCAGAAGACTCTGTACCGACCCAGAGCCAAAAGTGAGTGAAGATGTGACTTCTGACCCTGCATCACCTGCAAGTTCAGAGACAGGGTACGCAAAGCACCACCACTTTAACTTTCTTAACGTAAGGGTGCAAAATCCACGAAAGCTTACAAACCAATTCATCAGACAGTAACACTTATCCTAAAGAAGAAAAATCAATTCAGAGGTCATTTGAGAAGAGGGAGTTTCTCTATGCAGCTAATTTAATAGCATAAATCATACTAAAAATGTTAAACTCCATACTAAAAATCTAACTACCATACTAAAAAAAGAACGTGGAAAAAAACGAGACCTTAGAAAAAACGAAGGCCAGCAGACGGTTTAGGGAGCCGAAGCAGCGCAGGCTGACTTAGGTGAAAGCTACTAGCAGCCCTGGGGACCAGTTTCATCTAGGGAAGAAACTAAAAACCAATAAAACTGGGCATCTTTATGCACACTTGGAATTAGCTGTACGAATGGTTCAAAAGTAAGTTTTGACACAAACCATAAAAAACGAACTTCCATTGATAAAACCCTCGGCCCACTGACCCAGGGCAGCCGCACGCCTGCCACTCTGTTAAGGCGGGACTGGCCAGTGTCCCCTTTAAATGCTCTGGGTCAGCCCCCATCTTCCACAACGGCAACACGTCTGCGCAGACGCGACGCCACTCTGGAGGTGAAGGACAGGAAGCACGACTGCTTGTCGCTTCTTAGGCCGGGCTCAGTGGGCCCTCTGGGAGCTACAGAAACAACCTACAGAATGCCACCTAGACCTCCCTGGTTTTGCCTTATCAAAGAGAATAGTATCTTTGCATTCTTACCTTTTCACTGAAACACTCAAGCAAGTCTTGGACATACCCTCGCATTTCTTGCAAAAACTTATACCGTTCACCAGTACCCCCCGAGGACCCTTCCAGTCTTTCAATCGCCCGGGTGGAGTCCACGCGGCTTTGCAGGTGCTTCTCACGCTGCTGCTGGTTGGCTTTGTGCGCCTCTTTCATGGCGTCCAACCTGAGGAACACAGAAGGGCAGACGGAACACGCTTACTCCCCGGGGTCTGTGCGCGCAGGACTCTTGCAACATCACAGTGCACTTAGTTCCACTATTAGAACACACACACTCCGAGTGGCATCTTTTCATCTGCATTGCTTTGCTCTCAAAAAAAAAAAAGGCAGCAGTTTACAGACTCCCCGTGAAACCGCGTGGGGCCTGCCCAGGATGCACTGCTGTGCCCCCCGCGGCCGGACTACACTGTGTTGGAGTCCGAGAAGCGCCAGCTCAGAGCTGCCATCAACAAGGTTGGGGGTGCGGCTTCCACAGAGGTCATCCAAGGAGGGGCGGAGCAGAGACCGAAGCCACCCTCTGCTGGGCTCTGGGGCAGGCGGGCGTCTCCTTGGCTGCCACACCGCGCCTGCCCCGGACCACACGACGCCTGAGGAACACAGAGCGGGAGGACGGGTCTTTAGGAAGCTGGTCTGCCCTACCTGTCTTTAAGCTGTTTCTTTACCAGATCAATAGTAACGGGAGTCATCTCATTACTGGGAGTTTTGAAAGGGGCTGTACTATCTGTTTTTTGAGATTTGCCATCAGCTGATCCATAGGCTGTGTAGCTATAAGGAATGCCGTAGGAGGAGCCGTAAGGCACGGTCGGGTAGGTGTTCTGGTAATACATATTCACTTCGGTGGGCTGACTTGCTTGAACCTAGAGAAGAAATGGGATACGTGTGAAAGCTGGTAGCTGAAACCGTGCCAAAAATAACTTTGTGCCTTTAAGGTTAGAAAAACCTAATGGCAAAAATTAAACCATTTTCTAAACAGTATGCAATTAAAAATAGTTAGAATTCTTCAAAATTAAGTACAAGGAGTGCTAGATAAAACGTTCTTGTTCTCTTACGGGATCACAGAATTCATTTCCAATAATTTTCAGGAAAAGAAGTTGAGATGGGCCCCGGCTGGTGTGGCTCAGCGGACTGAGTGCCGACAAAGGGTTGCCAGTTCGATTCCCAGTCAGGGCTCATGCCTGGGTTGCAGGCCAGGTCCCCAGTAGGGGGCATGCAAGAGTCAAACACACACTGATGTTTCTCTCCCTCTCTCCCTCCCTCCCCTCTCCTCTCCAACAACAAATAAAATATTTGAAAAAAAGAGAAGAGTTGAAGGGACATTAAAAATAACCCCAGGCCACCACTTCATCACTGGAAGATGACAAATTGCAAGCCATGGCCACAGGGTAACCTGAAGAGAAGCAGGGAGGGCACAGCAGACTCCTCACACCTGCCCCCAGGCTCCCCCACTGCACACCGCCGGTAACAAGAGGGTGATACTGTATGCCCGGTTTCGCTTACTGTGCCCTTCCATAAAACAAATGCTGTGGCTATTTAGGAAGGTGTTTTTCACTTACAGGAAGAGAAACTCATCTGCTACAAAGTAACTTCTAAAGTTAGAGAACATAAGCCATGCCAGGGAAAAAACCCTTTGCTGATACAGTATTTCTGGGACTTGGCTGCGGACCCACCCTGAGGGCTCCTGAGACAGGCCGGACCCACTGACAGGCCCGCTATTGTCTGGGTCCAGGGAAGTGAGAACCTGCATTTCGCACAAGCTCCCAGAGGATGTTTGATGCTGCTGGTTAAGGAACCACTTTGAGACACACTGATCTAAGGAAACTTGAAATTCTTCCATCCTTTGACTATAAAGAAGGAAATATAATAGTTTCTTCTAAAAGTTTATTGGAGGACTTCTGGCCAAAATGGAGGCGTAGGTAAATACTCTTTACCTCCTTGTACAACCAAAATAAGGAAACAAATTTAAAAACAAAAAGTAACCAGAAGTGCCAGAAAAATTGAACTGTGTGGAAGTTCAACAACCAAGGAGTTAAAGAAGAAACATTCATCCAGACGGCAGGGGGGGTAGAGATGGGCAGCCAGGGCAGAGAGGACGCAGGTTAGGTGGCAGCTGGCAGACCAGGCGGTCCCCGTTCGCATGTGGATAAACCGGGAGTAACAACTGGGGAGCAAGACACACTGCACAGCCCAGGGTTCCAGTGTGGGGAGATAAGGACTCAAAATCTCAGACTGTAAAAACCTGTCCCAAAAAAGTTGGGCCCAAGGAAGCACACACCAAAGCACATCATAATTACATTACCCAAGATGAAAGATAAGGAGAGAATTTTAAAAGCAGCAAGAGAAAAGGAGACAGTTACCTACAAAGGACTATTCCCACAAGACTATCAGCTGATTTCTCAAAAGAAACCTTGCAAGCAAGAAGGGGCTGGGAAGAAGTATTTCAAGTCGTGAAAGGTAAGGACCTACATCCAAGATGACTCTATCCACCAAAGCTTTCATTTAGAATGAAGGGCAGATAAAGTGCTTCCCAGATAAGGTCAAGTTCAAGGAGTTCATCATCACCAAGCCCTTACTATATGAAATGCTAAAGGGACTTATATAAGAAAAAGATGATAAAAAATATGAACAGTAAAATGACAACAAACTTACAACTATCAACAACTGAACCTAAAAAAACCAAAAACAAAAACTAAGCAAACAACTGGAACAGAATCACAGAAACAGATTCACAGAAATGGAGATCACACGGAGGGTTATCAGTGGGGAAGGGAGGGAGGAGAAGGTACAGGGAATAAGCAGCAAAAATGGTAGGTACAAAATCGACTGGGGGAAGTTAAGAATAGTATGGATAATGGAGAAGCAAAAGATCTTATTTGTCCGACCCTTGGACCTGGGGGAATGTCCAAGGGGAACTAAGGTAGGGAAATGCTGGTGGGAGAGGGGTGCAGGGAGGAGGAGAATAAAGGGGAGAAAAAAAGTGGGACAACTGTAATAGCATAATCAATAAAATATATTAAAAAATAAAAGCTTATTGGATACACAACTTTATGCGATTTTCTTAATCATGGGACTTGAGCCAACGACAAAGATTCAATTCACTATGCAACACGTTTTAACTTCTGCTTTAACAAAACAGGCAAGAGAAGTTTCACGTCTGCATTTTTAAACGTACTCCGGAACCTCTGCAGCTCAGCTCTGCGGGCCTCACCTGGGGGATATTGATCCCTTTTCGGATCTGCTCCTGCTCCCACCGGCTGAGCTCTTCATCCTGCTCTCCGGCCACTAAAGCGTCGTCGTCACTCCCCTCAATACCTGCAGCCACGAGCAGCCAAGACAAGTGAGGACCCCCGGGAGGGCAGGGAAGGGGGCGATGCCCCCTGCTCTGTCACAAAAACTAGGCAGAACTGTCGGTGCTGACTCAACCTTACCGTGACCCCACCACCAGCCCCAGCCTCTCATTCCACGCCCCCGACTTCACTTGTCTTCAGGATACAGTGTCCCCTGGAGCGAAAGGCAGCACTAACGTAACCACTAAAACCTCGGGTGGGTTTCCTCATCTCCGTGAGCTGGAGCACAACCTAGTGCCTGCTAAGACTGCCGGCCGGAGGCGTATTTCTACATGCGCGGGGCTTAGGCCCCCACCGCCCCAGTGAGGAAGCGTCAGTGGTACTCAAGCTGAGTTTCAAAAACTTCCAGCAAGACGCTCGTACCCAACAAGAACCGTCCTCTAACATGAAATATAGTTTTAAGAAAATGTCAAATCAATTTTGTATCTGTGGGTTTTCATAGCAATGTGACAAATGGGCTTATTATCCCATTCAATCAAGTTACCTATTTCCTCGGCAATTTTTTGTCTTTGTGATTTTTCTTTCACAGAAAACACTATCCGGCGCTTCTCGTCATCGTCTTCGTCATCACTGGCATCGTTCTCATCTTCTCGAACGAGGCGGCCTTTACCCGGCTCGCTTTCGTGCGGAGTGAAGTCTCCCAGCTCCCGGGCCATCTGGCGCTTCTTCCTGGCGGCGTGTATGAAAGCCGCGTCTGGGATTTCTCCTGGGGACCGAGGGCGGGGGGAGACATGTCAGGGATGCACGCTCTACTCTCTTGAAAATATGCCGGGAGAAATAACCTCACCGAGACACCCTTGTCACATGTTCTAGTGCCAGTGATGCTGGCACCCTCCCCAAACTGGGCCTGCAACCCACTGCGTTCTCTGGAACTCAGTTTAAGGGGGGCTGACAGCCACGGTGAAACTGAAATGGACCCATAACGGCGACATGAGAGAGAGTGTGTGTTGTGGTGGGGGGGGGGTCCAGCAAAAGCTTTAATTGTACTTTCTTCGCCTTTAAGTAAAATGAAAGTAATCAAATCGTATACTAAACTAGAAAACAATAAAAATTAAAATGGTGCCCACGCCTCATGACCCCCAAAACATCATTAGATGCCCAGTATATTTCTCCTGCAAAGCGTTTTCAGTTCACCTATAAGCATGTTGACTACACAATTCCATACCTAGCTTTTCTTGTTAAAACATAAGCTTTTATGTTGTATGCATAAATATAATTTTAATGACTTAACAACTTCTTGACCCATAAAGCATCATCCACTACACAGTTAGTTGACTTTTTACCTACAGTCAAAATGAGCGCCTTGCTACTCGTCAAACCATTATTTTAACAGCCATGTGACACCTTGCATGTAAATGCCTCTTAACTCACTAAGCCGTTCCTCTCCTTTCCTCTCTTCTCCAGCCAGACGCTGTTTCCAAGTTTTGCTCAGGGCAAATAATGCTGTGCTGAAAACATTGTTTCCCTGCGATACATATCTCAATACAGAGTTACAGGGTCAAGAACATTTGAGATCACTGCCAAACAGCTTAAGGACTGATGCTACTAGTCTGTGTATGTAATTTTTCTCAACTCTAGCAGGCCAGAGTAAACATTTTTAAATTTTATAAATGTTAGGAGTTAAATGATACCTTTTCATAATTTAAATTTGGCTAAAGTGATTAATTATTCAAACGCTCATTAACCAGTGAAGGGATCTGCAGACCATTTCATAGAGAAATGTAAAAAATGAAGAAAGTGTGGACAGAAAACTAACAGCAGTTAGTTCTGCTTTTAGAATCAGCTTTAAGAGAAATCTCCATCTGACTACAGAAAGAACAGGGGGACCGCTGCAGCGCCCTCTGCCGTCCCCTGGAAGCCCCATTCCTGCCCAGATGGCACACGGACTGTCTGACAAGGTCTGACAAGGGCGTATAGAGCTGGAAGTTTCTGATTCCCCTCCCTCCTCACAAAAGGAAGCGCCCTGGCTCCCAACAAGGACATCCTCGGGACACCGCTGGGCTGACTCTGAGCTTCTAAGCGGTCTCCACGGACGCCCACTGCCGGGGGGAGTCCGCACCTGGACGGAGGACATTCAAAGACGACAGAGCATCCGCGAAGGCCCCGCCAGCCTTGGGCTTCCCCTCCTCCTTCTCGCTTTCCACGTCCATCTCGTCTTCGCCGCGCTCACCGAGGATAACCCCATCCTCTGGACCGGTGTCCTTAGCATGTCCTGCTTTGTCCAAAGGTGGCTCATCTGCATTTTTGAAAAATTAAAATGATTTTAAAACAAAATCCCTAAGGCTAAAAAGAAGCTTTTTATCTGATTATAAACTTGCTTCATTAAAGCTTGAACTATTTTGTTTACAAAAATCTCAAACCACTAATGTATAAAAAGTATCACAACAAGGGACACACCTGGGAGATAAAAGTAACACAGGGGATGCAGGGCTGCTCAGTTGTCAAAATGTTACTAACTTATCAAAAGTAACTGTTTCTTCCTCCAGACTCTCTAGGTGGCGGTCTGTGCCTCTCCTAAGCGTCTCATTCTATATGTGGGCATTTCATGAAACTCTCAGCCCAGAAAGCTTTTCTCAAGAACTCATTTAGGGTCCAGACAAACCTCTGTGATGAATCGCACTGGGCCATCATCTTGGTTCACAACCGTCTTCACCACTAGCTGAAGGGGTAAGACTCAAAAGCAATGTGTGAGCTGAGCTGCCCAGCCCTGACCCCACTGCCGCGCCTGGATGTGTAAGAGTGAATTTTCGACCGAAGCAGAGGCAACCTGGTTCGCTCCCTGGGAATCTAGAACTGGGACAAAGACCAGCCGCGCGTGGGCCCAGGAAGGGAGCTGGGGAGTGGCCACACCCCGCTACGTGGAGAGGAGAGGAGAGAGGTCTGTTTTCACTGCTGACATGCAGGCCACTCCTGAGGCCAGTTTCAAGGCTGCTCTCCTGCCGCTGGTTCTGTCACTTTGCACCAAGTGGTTTACAGCACTTGTAAGTGAACAGTCCTATCACACCCTCTGTCCAAGGCAAAAATCAAGAAAATCAAAATGTTTTCCATCTTGAAGCACTTGAACCTGGCCATGCACACAACGGGCTCAAGGATATAAACAAAGAGTAAAACAAATGTTTACTCTAAATATGACAGGTCCCTCTGCTGTTTCTCTAGCACAGTCCCCTCCCCAAATTGCTTCAACGTTCTGCATTCTTCTCTCCCCTAAACAGGAGTCCTGGGGATGGTACTCCCCCCCCGCCCCCTGACCTCACTGAGAAGAGCCAGACTCGTGACCTGTCGGATTGTTATTTTAGTAGCTTTGTAATGTCCCTTCGTGTAAATGTACCTTAATTTACTGTCATTCCTCTCCAGCTGGACATCGTTTTCAAGTTTTTTGTTTTTAAATATTTTATTTTTAGAGAGGGGAAAAGGAGGGAGAAAGAAAGGGACAGAAACATGATTGTGTGAGAGAAACATCAACTGTGTGCCCCCCACACACCCCCACTGGGGACCCGCCCACAGCCCAGGCTTGTGCCCTGACCGGGAATCGAACCAGCGATCTTCTGGTCCGCAGGCCAGCAGCACTCAATCCACCAAGCCACACCAGCCCGGGCTCCCAGTTTCCAAATTCTGATCTGTTAGATCATTCTGTTTTAGGCTCTTTAATTTTAATTCCCAGTTACCATCCTGCCTCGCTGGCCACAGACTTCGTTCTGAAGTGCATTCTGAGGTTATGAGACTTTAAAACTCACTTTATTAGATGTGCTGGTATATGGTTAGGAATAAAAAAATTTCCCCTTTCCTTCTGCTCTCAACCCACACGACATCAATGGCTTTCGACAGACGAAGCAGAATTAAGAACGGCCATCCAGACCAGACAGGCAGGGAGAGTGCTCTCTGCAGACGTTACAGAACTCAAGTTTCGTTAAGGTCACAGGGACGTGTGTGGCCGAGCAAGCACTGACCCAACACCGTGACAGCGGAATCTGTGGAGGGGTCGGGCACTGCGCTCCAGACCACGCCCTCATAGAAAGCGACACTAAGCAGTGGCTCCCCCGCACTCCCCCCGCCGCCAGCGCCTCTTCAGGAGACTTGCTCACACACACTCCTGCCGCCCCAGACTCCATTGGGCTCTCCTCTGTCTTCCTTGGTCTGCAAACGGGCACAGCATTCTGATCCGGGTCCCTATTCTCCACCGTGCCCTCTGCAGAACTCCCCAGAGCAGCAGAGGGACCCGCTGCCTCCCACTCCCCTTCCTCACCAACTGTGCGCCCCACCCCCCGGCAATCGGCTGGGCTGCGCCCTCCCTTTCCGACCCAGTTTACCGGCGAGCGACTGGCTGCGGCCACGCCACTCTGCACAGGACTGTGGAGAAACGCAGCCCGGCAGCCCTTCCTCCAGCGGGCACCGACGGCGGCTGGTGGACCGCCCCTGCCAGGTGCCCCCCTCCCAGAAAACCACCACAGCCACCCTGCCAACAGTCCTTCCTCGGCCCCTCCTTGTCCTGACCTTTCTGGTACTAAGCTCCACAACTGACCACCATCATCAAGAAATGATCCTGCCTTTTCTTCTCCAGCCTTCGTGTCGCTTTGCAAACCTTCTCGTCGTCTCAGTAAGCACTGAACCTGAACCTGAACCTCCAGCTGTTCACCAGCTGTTGCACCGAAACTTGTTTTAAAAGTGAACTCATGTTCTGATGGGTGTGGCTCGGCTGGCTGAGTGTCCTCACACAGAGCAAAAGGTTGCCAGTTCAATTCCGGGTGAGGGCACAAGCCCAGGTTGCAGGTTCGGTCCCGAGGGCACGAAGGAGAGGCGACTGACTCCCTCTCTCCCGTCCGTGTTCCCCCTCCCTCTCTCCCATCCGTGTTTCCCCCTTCCTCTCTATCCAAAGACAAATAAATAAAATCTTAAGAAAGTGACCTCATTATGTTAAAAATATCACAACAAGAGGCTTCCAAGTTGCTAGCACCTCTGTTTTGAAGGCCCGGCATCTCTGCCTGCAGAAGAAGGGCGGGGCTGGAGGGCTCAGGAGGGCGAGCTAAGGGAAGAGCCCTCAGTGCCGCAGACGCGAGGACAGTCCTCGCCTGCGCCGGCCTCTGGGGAGGCCATGAACTGAGTCATCGGGTGAGCCTTCTGTGACGGTGGGGAGGCAGAAGACCTCACTCACGACAGCTGCACAACCCACTCTTCCCAGGTCTCACTGCTCCTGACCTTTCCTGTATCATTTCATCGTACAGCGGATTCGCAGGAGATTTGGGGAAAGGAAGCAGTTTCCTCGACTCCAAGACAAGCGATTCCCCTAAAAATACTCCTCCTCCCACCTGCCTTCTCTCTTTCTGTGCGAACTACGTAACTACCCTCTCGGTCGCCCTGGCACAAAAGCACAAATCTGACTGCTTCTTTCAAATCCAACAGCTACGGCACACATCAAGCCCACCAGCTCTCCACTGGAATGTTTCTCAAAGAGTCTCCTCTCTTTCCACTTCTTCTCCTACACCCACAGCAAACGTTTGTAACTCACCCCCAGCTCCCCAGAGACAGGAAAAGACGTCTGGACCCGCCAGTCCTGGGTCACAGCTGACCCAGGAGCCTAACGGGACCCAGCCGCCCCTCTCTGCTGGCGCCGGCCCACACTGCAGGCTCGTGCCAGGAGGAGGCTCTGAAGGCATTTGTCACATCCCCATCCTGGCAAAGTGGCAAACACAGCAACCCCGTACTGGACACTCGACGCCTGGCACAATCTGTCAACAGCACGCCTTTCCACCCTAAGCCACGGCTCCCTCCATGAATCATCCGTGGGCCGTACTTGCTCTTTTGCAAAAGGTCCTCGGTCACTTCAATCTTTGATATCCCCCCCCAACAACAGATCCATTTTCCCACAGACAAACAACTGCTTAAAGGCTGAACTGCAGCTGAGAGAGAACACGAGACATGTGTGCAGGGCAGGCAGGGCCTCATGCTGAGGAGTCGTCATGTGTGAAGGGCGTGGGGGGGCACGGGTGGGGGCCAAAGGACACTCAGGGCACTCCTAAAAGTTCTCTAAGAATTAAACCCACTGCGGAAATACCATCAAGAAATAGGAAACCCGTCTCCACAAAATTTAAACTCAGAAATGTGCACGGTACTCCCTCCCTCCAAGAAGAATAAACGTGCGTCTCAGGACTAAGTGGGACCCTTCTGCTCAACGGCAGTCTCGGGGAGGGTCAGTACTGCGGTGGAAACATTCCAGGGGGCCGGGATTTCGTCTGTTTAAAAAACATGTTTGCTTAAACATGTTTACGTTCAGATTGTTAGAAACAGCAGAGCCGCATGGCTATGGCCACTCAGTTCGGACCCTGACCACCCCTGACCACGACAGGGGCAACTGCAGGAGGGCCTGACACCTACAGCGAATCCACCTAATTAGAACAAGAAAGAAGCTTGTTTGACATTTTGAAAGAAAAGTCTTAGTTTGGTACTTACTGTCGGCCGATGAGTTGACTTCTGTCTTAATTTTCGATTTTTCAAGATCTTCTTTATATTCTTTCTTAAGTAATTTCACTATTTTTTTGCTATAACTTGATTTCTTCACTTTGAAAACTTCTTCATTTTCTTAAAAGAGAAATTAAATGAAGTCTGTAGCAACCACTTCCAGACACTCTTCCCTTCTAGCTTTTGCATGATTTTCACATTCTTTCAAATATGTACTCATCCACCCCAAGTGATTATATAATTTTAAGTTATTTCAAATGTCATAGGCTCTCAACAACTGAAGTCAACTTCATAAACTAATCCAAAGTAACACAAAATTGAGACTTTTAAAAAGGCATCAAACAGCAAAGTGCAGAAAATCTCCCAATGTCCTATTGTCTACCTGGGACCACCCATTTCAGGAGGGAAAAAAATAATCGCCAAGAAAGCACTTAATCCCCAAACCATGACAGTATCTGAAACAAAATACCCCAAATCAAAAGGTGCTGCTTAACGGGGCTGTCAAGTCTGAGGAACACCAAGTCCATGGCCAAATGACATTAGGTTCTTTCAAGACTAAGCCGAGGACAAAATACTTTTCAAAAGGTCTGATGATGTGTCTCTCACTTCTGGTTTGAAACATTTAAAGTCAATCACAAACACCACCAGACAGTGCTTGCAAAAACAACCACCTGTCCGCCTCTTAAAGTAAGAAAACACAAAGGCTAAAGAGAAACGGCCTGCCCCACTGGAAAACACGGAAGCACCTCGCGTCAAGATGCAAGGGAAATTTCCAAAAATCGTAAGTTCTTTTAACATTGACTTAAAGGGCTATATACAGACAAAGTATTACTATTTAAGTCTCATTTATGATCGGACGTCTAAACGCACGGCAGCCTTGGAGAAACCAAGGCTCGGCGATTCCAAGGGTCTGGTCCAAGGTCACTTGGAACCAGAGCGTCTACTCTGGGCTTCTGTTCCCAGACCCAGAACTCCAGCTGCTGCAGCCCCGGCCCCCGAGTTAAGGGTGACGGGACGGAGCAGCCCAGAGGCGTGGTGACCACAGAGCGCTCGGGGTTCGAGCGCCGACCAGCCAAGGGACCGCACTCCATTTGTCCCTGAAACACGCCGCCGGGGGAGAGGCAGGCCAGGGGCACCGGGTTTCCCCCGGAAAAGCTCCGCTGATCCAGCTCGGGCCCTCGGAGCGAAAAACGCACGGGCGGCCGCACAAGGCGGCGTTGTAGAGGGCAGGTCGGCGGCGGCGCGGGAACGCGTCCCCGGCCGCAGCACAAGGCCCGAGGCGGGGAGGACGTGCAGAGGGCCCCTTCCCGCCGAAAGGGCTCCGTCCCGGGAGAGGGCGGGGCGGGCGGCGACGCCGGGGTGCGGGACCCCCGCCCGGCGGTTACCTTCCTCCTCGTCCTGGAAGCTCAGCAGGCTGGCCCGAGGCACCTCTTTGTTCTCGCGCGGCTTCTTGCGCGGCTTCAGCCCGTTGCCCGGCTCAGCGCCGCCCGGGAAGCAGCCGCCGGCCTCGGCTCCCGGGCCCGCGGTCAGCGCGGACGGCGGCGGCGGCCCCGGGCCCAGCAGCCCCTCCCCCGCGGGGGCCCGATCGCCTCCGCCGCCGCCGCCGGGGCCCGGCTCGTCGCCAGCGCCGGGAGGCGGAAGCAACGGCGGCGGCTCCTGCTCCTCATCGCGCTCCCGCTCCTCCTCCTCCGAGTCGTTCCGCTTGCGCACGTTCACTCGCCGGGCCTTTCGGAACATCCCCGCGGCCCGCACGGCGGTCTCAGCCTCGCTCCCCCACGGCGGCCCCGGCACTGCCGAGCTCGCGACGGCGCACGCGCGCGCCCCCCAGCCCCGGCCCGGAGCTGTCCTCCCTCGCGGTACCGCGCACCTCCTGGCGCGCATGCGCCCGCGCTCCCACCTCGCGAACGAACTCCGCACCTCTCGCGAGAACGTCGGCTTCCTGCAGCGTCCTCTGTCGGCCTGGAGGACTATCGGCACAGAACTCTGGGACTGCAGCTGTTCGACGGGTCACAAAGAGAATCATAGAGACGGGAGGACAGAGTGCGCTCCGTCCACGGTGCTGCAGTGCGTCCTTACGTCTCCTGCGGAGCAGTCCCGCGAGGAGGCCTCCGGTTGAGCTCTGGGGCAGCCGGATGAGGGGGCGGGCCCGGGGAGGAGCCCCAGGAGGAACCAGGCTTGGCGAGGGCACGTGGGGGGACCTGTGCAGCGACTGTGAAATGATGATTGTCAGTGACTATACATCATCACTAACTATAGCGACCGACAGAGCGCGTTCCCAACCGTTGAATTTCACTTGTGATAGATGCTCCCTGGTTTGATAGCGTAGCTCCCCTTTTTCCATTACAAGGAAAGCAAATTGTGTTACTTGTCGCAAGAACGTCAGATTTGCCAGCAGTTCTTGAACCGGCCACTTTCAGAAACAAACAGAAGGGAAATCGACTTGAGTGGGGGTGGTTATGTCACCTTTCAGACTTGCGTGGATTCACAGAGGTGACAGTCCTAACTGGCGAGGCCGGAGCAGGGACTGGCCCTTGAGGTTGACCTCCCAGGCTTCCCTGTTGTGTCCCCAAACTTGGGGCCTTTTCCTTTGCAGAGGGCAACCATGTACTGAAAAAAAGCCCACCGGGCTGTAGAAGCCGTCCGGTTCATTGCAATGTTAAGAGTCTCATTACCCCCTACAGATACTCTACGAACCTAAAAGCAGGTGTGTCTATTTTTAGAGTTGCCTTTTTCACACAGTGTATACACAGTGCACGTTTAGTCTGGAAAAAAAAAAAAAGTTGTCTCTCTTACCAGCTACAGAGTGATCCAGTGGGGAAGCGTACCATAATTTATGTAACCTGTCCCATAATGATTGATAGTTTATTTCCAATCTTGGTATCATAAATCGATGCTGCAATAAAAGCTTCAAAAAATGGTCCCATCTGTAGGGTGAACTTGAATTGGAATTGCTAGATCCAAGTGGGTGTCAATTAGAAGCCGTGCCAGTTTGTGCTGCTGCCCGCAAGCGTGAGAGTGCCTGTTTGCCTGTGCCACCCTGTCAAAACTGCAGATTTAAGCTCCAAGTTGAAGCGGACGATCCAAAGCCCACTGAGAATTTCTACATCATACACATCTGCCTCTTTTCACTGGTTTTCTTTGGTTGAATTTGAGATCTGCCCACCGGGACTCACTTTTGGAAACTGGCAAGATGATGTGGGCCAGCGGTTTTCAGTAGGTGTGCCACAAGAATCTTATTTTTTAAGATTTCATTTGTTTTGGGGTGTTTTGTTTTGTTTTGTTTTGTTTTTTGCAAGATGGGAAGGGAGAGGGGAAAAAGAGGGAGAGAAAGAAACATGAGTTGGTTTCCTCTCACAGTCCTCCATCCAGGAACCTGGCCTGAAACCCAGGCACGTGCGCTAACTGGGAAGTGAACCAGTGACCCACTGGTTGGTTCGCAGGCCAGTGCTCAATCCACTGAGCTACACCAGCCATGACAGAATTTTTTAAAAGTGCACTATCTGACTCTAGTCGAGGGCACTGACCGTTCTCCCCTTAGACCGTCAAATAAAATGACAACAGCCAAACATAACAATAGTTGTCCGGTGTGAGTGAATCAAAATGATACTTTTTTTTTTTGGTCAGAATGGAAAAAAATACACACACAGACATATATTTTGGTGTGCCGAGGAATTTTAGTAATTAGTTTATGTGTGCCATGAGATGAAAAAGGTGGAAAATCACTGCTTGAGGCTATGAGCACACTCCAACATTCTCTTTCAGTTCACAGGAAAAGTAGCGATCGGCTTCCATTCCATTCTGATTTCTCTAAGTTCTCATGTTCTGGCTGTTCAGCATCAGTTTAAGTTCTGACTCCAACGATGTCTCGTCAGTGAAATTGAACTCCAGTTCCCATCACAAAAGATTCAAATTGTGCCCGGTCAGCCTCCAGACACCTGAGCCAAGACACAGAGGAGCAGATGCATGATGGCCGCAGAGGCGACAGTGGTACAGCCCAGTGTGTTAACTATGTTACCATCCTGTCCTAAAACTTCAAAAAGATCATCCGCTGGGGAATATGGCTGGACGGGAGCGCGCTTGCGTTTTAAAGTGAGCCGCGAGGTGAAAAGACAACAAATGTAATTTTGACTGTCTACCTGTTCAGTAATTAAAGGGTAAAGTTAAACACTCAAAAGTTACTTTGTGGCCCAGGCAGGTCAGAGGTCCTTCTGGAGGTTACAGACCTTGTGGGAATGGAACCCCTGAGACTGAGTGGCTGCTTTCACTGCCTGTGAGCAGTGTATTAGCGGGATTTAGTTACTTTATACAATCCTCTGCACTGTGAGTGCCAAACGGGCCGATTGGGTCACTGAATACAGCCTGTCACCACCACTTGGTATCAGAGTGTCTCCGGTGCCCTGGGAAGACAAGGACCACCGCACAGAACCGCACATCGCTCATTTTGTTGAAGTCAGTAAGTATAGTTAGTGTTTAACAGTCACCTTTCTAAGCAGTAACTCAGTCGTTTTTTTCGCCAAATTGGGACTTGACATGGAATAATTGACCCATAAATTCACACAAAACAGGTGAGTCAGTTTTGTCTGTTTGCTGATTTGGTGCTGGACTCCGCAGTCTGGAACGGTGGTTACCTGATGCAGGTCTGTGAGCCCATGGGGACTTCTCCCCAGCCAGCTGCCAAGTGACAAGGGCAGGACGGTGTGTCCTCACTCGGGGAGGAAGTAGTCCCGTGCTCTGAGATTGTCCTCTCCCGTGTGAAGATACCGAAAACTCTCTCCTTGCACGAAATAATGATGGTCGTGTGTGTGTGTTTGTTTTACACCCTTACCTAGCAAACTAGGAAGTAGTGAAAGCTATTGAGTCTTCCCCAATTTTTTATTTTATCTAAATTTTTTATTTGGCAGGCGGAATCTGATAGTCTAGGAATCCCTGATCTAGGAATTTTTCTTTTCTTTCTACAACTACAATGCAATTCCATTCTGAGAAAAAAAAACTGAATACATTTAGTTAAAAATATTAAGCCTTGCCTTGCTGAAGGCGGTTCCGATTAACTTAAGGTAAAATATGCACTTTGTGGGGCGGAGACTTCACACTGTGTTCAATGCCGTTTTCCCTGCGCTTCCAGGAGAACCTGGCCCGAGGTAGGCAATGAATGTTTGTGGACTGAAGGATGCTGAACGGCATGTTTGTTCAATGGGCGATAGATGTTTTATCCTATGTTGATACAAGTTAACATTTTCCTACAGCTCACATCCCCTTATTCCCCAAACAGGATCACAGTACATTTGTTATAAATCACTGGGTAGATTCGGTTTTCACGTGGTAATAGATCCCCTCCACCTCAGGGGACTGCCCCCTGGAGTGAGGAGGAGACTGGGAGCCTGGCCACGTGCACAGATTCAGCAGAGCAAGGGCTCCCGACCCACGGTGGGCTGATCACAGTCTCCCAGGAGTTTCCCCTGGAAATAGAGTCAACAGAGTCCCTGCTGGTGGCCAGAATTTCAATGGATGGAAAGCAGAAGGAAGACCGTGAATTACCACGTCCACTCCATCCAGAGCTGAGAAAACTAGCACGCGTTGTAGCGAGAGAGAGAACGGAGCAGAAAAGAACAGAGAGAACAAACAGAGTTGGGCCCCTCCTGCCTCCCCTGTTCTTGCTCACAGGTCTTCTGCCAACAGGGCTGCAGCGCCCCTCCCTCACCGGTGCAGGGCGGCCCCAGGTGCCTTGGGGTCCGTTTGTTCCTCGTGTTGCTGCTGCTTTTTTCGCTCAGAGGACTTGAAGTGTGTGTGTGTTAGAACCAAAGAACACTAGGACCAAAGAATTCTCACAGAATAACCAAGAGTTAGTGCAATTTAGTATAATGTTAATTTTGTCTGTATAAATTATATGATTGTTTTTCTTTAAGTTTACCATTTAATAACTCTTCAGCTACAGCTTTTGCTGAGAGAGGAGCTTTTCTTCATTTCTTTTATTTTTTAAATGCAGCCGTGCAGATACGCTCGCTGGCATTTCAGCAGTGGGTGGGAGTGAGGAAAGGTCTTTTGCCCGACTATGTAGTCATTTCGAGTAATGAGAGATAACACCTTCAACCAGAGCATGTGAGTAGTCTCCTAAACATGTCAGAAATTTTCAAACTCCACTGGAACTGAGCCACTGTGTCTAACCCAGGAAGATTATCTTTTCTATAAAAACGTTGCTATTGATGGAATCCAGGTTTAAGAGATTCAGGTTTTCCAAAGTGAATTTGTCTGTTACATTGGTAGCCCCGGTGGAGGGCCAGTTAACATTTACGGGTGCACTGGCGGTTCCCCTGTAGTGGTCATTCCTTCATTTTCTGAAATGACAGTTTCTTCAACAAAAAGAAAGGGAATTTTTATTTATGCTTCATCTGAACTTTGAGTGCAATGATAAAAGTGAACAATGTCTTATTTCCTGGCATGGGAATAGTGAGCTTACTCAGTGGTTTTGGAATGCGCCTGCCATTCAGAGTAGGCAGTTCAGTAACCCACTTGCTCAACAAGGTTTATTGGCCTTCTGGGGCATTCTAGGCAGCAGAAATGCAACGGCGAACAAGGCAGGGGATCTTTCTCCCAAATCTGTGGTCAGGTGCTGGAGACCAAACAAACAAGTGAGTAAACAAAAACTGCTGTTACTATTAGGAAGAAATCAATTGGATGCTATGTCTTAAGAACTACAGGTATAGACGTAAAAATGATAGAGATTACAATATGATTTATTTTTTTCTATCTGGCAATGGCCATTTAAGTATCTTTATCATTAGCAAATGTGTAAAGATTTCTGGGATCGAGGCAAAACATTTTCCTGCAGGATGGTGAACAGCTCCAGACGTCTCCTTTAGTAACTTCAACAAATTTATCTAC